AGGGGAGGTGCTCCAGCCCTCTGACCAATTTTGTGGCTCTCCTCTGGACTCTCTCCAACAGGTCCAGGTCTTTTTTATGTTTACTGAACACAGTACTCCAGGTGGGGTCTCACGAGAGCAGAGTAGAGGGGGAGAATCACCTCCTTCGACCTGCTGCTAATGCTTCTTTTGATGCAGCCAAGTATATTAGTTTCTTTCTCCTACTAGTATTCCAGAACTTTTTGTTAGGATCCTTGACTACAGCCAAACCACACACCCCTATTTGCTCAAGGCAATGTTGTTCTTTTGTTTAAATATGCCTTCTCACTCCTTGCATTTAATTCACTCTTGTATTTATAGAGTACAGTTGCATTCTTCCTTAACTTTTATTCTGCTAGGACAAATAAGTCAAGCTCTTCCAGTTTGCTCCTGTATATTACAAGAGCCCAGCGCTAATCCCTGTAGCTGTTCACTGCACCTGCTCCAGCTGAATTCATCTGTCTCCCAACATGGGTGACAAATACTGTAAAGAAAACTCCAGGTGCAGTTTTACAAGCGCAACAGCATTAGTATTTCCCCATCGCTCTTGAAAAAATTCCTCCCCAGAACACTCTGGAGTTGCATTTGTCTTTTACTCAGGCACGCTACCCCACACCAGTAGCTCAAAGCCAATTTATGATTAACCAGTGCACTCGGGGCTTTCTCTGTCCCCATTGCTTTCAACAGATAGGCATTTCTGGTATGAGCTGAGAGCTCGTTATTAAGCCTCTAGGTTCATGACCCTGCACTCCTTCTCGTTACTGCTATTCAAATTATCGGTGTTTTCCAGTTTTTCCTGTAGAGTCCCACTCTCCACTGTTTTGACAGTAACTCCCAGCTTCATGTCATCAGAAACAAATAATGTGTCCTCCAAATAACTTTACTTATTGCCATAACTTTAACCTCATTGCCACCATTTTCCAAGCCATTGTTGCCAACGCACTTGCAGGACAATAAAATCCAGTTTCTCCTGTGTCACCTGTGCCCTGATGAATCTTGACGATGCACTGCCTGTTGACAACAGTTAGATACAGGCTAAGGAGCTGAAGCCACCCTATAGCAGAAACTCGGGAGTTTGTCCTCACTCTGTTCCACTACTGGCTTGCTTTGAAGGCTACAAGCAGAGCCCTGTCGCACTAAACGCTGTGCAAGAATACCAAGAAAAAGAACCTGCCCCTCAAAATACCTTGCATCTATTGTTTATCT